ACATCTAGTGTGACTTTTGTTGCTTATAATAAATTGTAATTACTAAATTATAAAGTACTGGAAGTAGTTCCAGGGAAAGCCCTTTAACATGGATTTCTAGGATTGACTGTGTAAACTGATTTGAAGGGAGTGATTACTTCAACACCAAGGGAAAATGGATTACAGTGGCCCATGAAGAATGGTCATTCACAGCATGCACTTTCTTATCACAGAGTGGGATTGAGTGTTCAAGTGGCTACTGCAAATGAACACCAGGATGGCTCGCAGGAATGCCAGAGACTGTGTGGTGAGCTGGCTGATTGTGATTAACCTGGATTGCACATAGAAAGAAAAATAGCTCAAGGCCTTAAATACCTAGCTGTACCACCTTATTTCTTTCTATATTCTGCTTCTTCAACTTGCCACCACCAATAGATGTAATGTTTTTTGAGTTCTTTAAAAGAGTATTCTATCTCTTATAACCACTGACTGAAATAAAAAATCAGACACAGAAACTAACTCAAGAAGTTACAGAATTAAGGAAAGAAGGGAAAGGAAAAATTATGAGAAAAGAGAAAAATAGAAACAAAGTCTGTGTAAATTGGGAAGGGTGGAGGGGGTGAAGGGCACATAGGTAATGGGGAAAAAATAAGAACCAAGATACATCATGTACAGGTACAAGCACCCAATGAGAAATGTAAATGTAAACATATTGTATACCTAAAATATACCAACAAAAGAATATAAGCAAAAAAAAAAGTAATCTGAATTCATGACCTTGCCACATCTCTTCTTGTATGGAAGTCAGGGCTCTGATGGAGAAAGAGTGAGACTCTTAGAATTTTAATGGGAATTTTTGGGGTGATCTGGAATTGATATGTATTAATCCCCCCAATCTTACTGATGTTATAAAATGGAGATAATAATTATGTTGTCTTTATGTTATTATTACAAATATTAAATTAATTTACAGACATTTGCATGAGTATCTGAAATAGTATTATAAAAGTGTTAGCAAATTAAAAGGACTCAGACGCTGGAAGAAACAAATTGTATGTTTATGTGAAACTTGGACTCAATGGCATTCTGAATTAAATAAAATATTGAAATTACTTCTATAATAGAAGAACTCTAACCACTTAGGAAGACAAGAATGTTGAAGTATGCTTTTCTTCTGTAATCAATTTATCCAACTCCATCTATATCACCCTGGGGAAGGGAGACACTAAATAAATACCTATTTTATGCTCCCTCAAAAGGATTCAAAGTTACTTACCAAGACTGGTATTCATTTTACATTAAGGAAAGAGAACAATCTTGACTTTTCAAGGATTACTTACACAGTGGCTTCCAGCTAACAATAACACCTGAGGGCTCTATGTTACTGAGGTTCACCAAACAGAATAAGAGTGTATATGGGGCAGGTGACAGTTTGGCTGAAACTCAGTTTTCACAGCAGGTCTGTAAAACAGTGCTCTATTTATTTCTATCACTCTTGATTATACAATTTAAACAGAGATACTTGGCATCCAACAGAATTTCTGTAGCAGTTCTTTCACTTGTACAATGAGCACAATATTGCTAGTAAGACCTAGGACCTAGGCAAAAACTCTAATTCGATATTTTATCCATGAAGAACCAAAATTATTAGTGTCAACAAGAGTCTTAATGGATGCTAAGGGTCCATCTGGTCTCCATTTCAGTAAAAGAAGATAGATTGGTATTGAGAAGATGAGAGATAGATCTCTGAGAATGAGAATAAATTATTTTAAACTTCATCAGGTTGTAAATACAGTTGTGGTTGTTGCTCCCTTTATATCTTTCTTCCAGCTTGTATGCATTCTACTGAAAAGTGTTAATCAGTTTTCAATGGGCAAACAATTTTTTTTTAATTCTCTATCTTAATAAGTAGATGCAGTTTACTTTCACATCAGAAAATATTGCTTTTCACCTGCATATACTGGCTTTAATACTCTCAATCAACTCATTATACTACAAATGGAATGTTTGTCTATTGTACTGATAACATTGTGTTGATTGAATCTGGATAGATAGATGTATGGAGGGAGGGAGAAAAGGAGGGAGGCTAAACCTCACCAAAGCTTAGATTGTAATGTTGGATAATGATCTGCGAATGTTGAGGTAACTTTCCAAATTAAAAAAAAAAAACTATATTATTTTGCACAAGTAATACTATCTCCTTCCTAACTTCACAAATATAGAGTGGCAGGCTTATTGACAATGTTGGGAGTTGGCATTATGTGAATTTGAAACCAAGTTTAATGACATCCCTTGTGCTTCTTATCCTGCCAACAATTGTGTGGTCATCTACACCTTATACTAAATTTCTTTCCACTAAAAAATATAAAAGTGCTTTCTATTACTAAATTGAACCATAATAGATACTAAATTAGCTTCATATCACTGCTGTAACAAACTACTAAGTAAATCAAAACAAAACTTATTATTATAGTACAGCTCTGGAGGACAGAGATTTGAAATGGACTTCATTGGACCAAAATCAAGAAATCCACTTCAACATCAAGACATTCCTGTCTAAAGACCCTAGAGGAAACTGCTTCTTGACTTTTTACCTCCTAGAGACTTCCTACATTCCTTGGTTAATATTCCCTTTTCATCATCAAGGTTAGCAGGGAACATTCCAGATTATATCACTCAGACGATAACTATATCACTCAGACATAACTCTCCTGCTTCTCTCTTTCACTTATAAGAATACTGGAATTATATTAGAACTACCCAAATAAGACAAGAAAATCTTTCCAGTTAAGTGTCAGTTGATAAGCAAACATAATTCCATTTGCAACCTTAATTCCCCTTGGCCAATAGAACATATTCACAGGCTACAAAGATGAGAACATAACATGTTTTAAGAACTATATTTTATAGGCTAGAGATATCTTTTGTTTCCTCTTGTCCTCCTGTTTCCATGAAGAAATTCCACTCAGTAATCTTCTTGCCCTCTCCCTGACTCTTCAGATTCCTAACAGTAACTTTTATTGAACACAGAATGTTTTAGTGAGCATATGGGGCTCTACTCATATTCATTTAGACATCTCTAGAGTACAGAGAATATGCATGGCATTGCTTCTACAAGATGGTACCTGTCAGGGCAGAAAGCTGTCTCTTACTCTTGAAGTGGATAGACCAATACCAAATATTAACTGAATTTTTTGCAACATCTCTAACATACCTGGACCAACAGCCTTTATCAGTAATTATTATATCTTCAATTGTCTGACTCCAGTGGCTACATCTCTATCTGTTCTCACTTCTGGAAAGAAAATGAGGGTGAAGTAGATTAATTTCATAATGTAATAAAAGAAAATAATACTTGTCACATAGGTTTTATGTATACATTCTATGAAATACTTAACTTTTCAATGCCTCTTTATCCACCTTTTTAAAGTGTAGATTAATTTTTAAAGTATTTAGAGACAACTTCAAGGTAATTCCATAGGAAAAAAGAATGCTATTCCACCAAATAAATTTTGGATAGTCTTTCACTGTAAATTTTTTTCCTTCTCATTGAAAACTATTTTCTGCATTAATTTCTTTAAGTGAGCCTTGATCACAGTCAACATCAAAACAATTTCTGATGTTCACAACTTTGTTTTCATTTTTCTTTTTTCATCTTTATGCTTCTTCTAACAATCCATATGCAGGCTATTTATCCTGTCCTCCTAAGAATTCCTCCTAATATTACTTCCTACTGCTCTCCAGGCTAAGTCAGAATCTCCCTGAAGTCTTCTATCATTCTCAGAGTAAAAGAAAAATCTTGTGGTCTCTTTCTCAGGTAATGAAGTGTCTTGTGGGCTGGGATTTTTGTGATCTTTTTCCTCAGTAACTATTTCCTCTTCCAAAACACTGTTTTGGAAAAATCTCTCTGTTTCAATTACATAGATCTCTCATCTTACATCTTACTGTCACAATCAAAAAGGAGCATGTGAACCCAATAGGCTGCTTCACTTCACTCACCAGAGTGGCAGAGTGGTGAGTTTCCTAGGGTTTTCAAACTCTACTAGTCTTCAAGTCAGGGAGTATCTTCTTCCTTTTAACTTTTCCTTTGTAGTGTAGAATATTTCTTTCAAATTAATAGCAATGTTATGCATTGCTTTAGATACCTCAGGTATGTACTTAGTAACCTGCTTTTATCAAATTTCTCTTTCCTTTATTTTGGTTTATCATATCACTTCATTTCATAAGTGGAAAGTTCACACACCCTTAATCATAATGCATAATATTTTAAATTTCTTATCCCCACTGATCCTTTGTTGTAACTGATGTACAAAATACTCTGTACAATATTTAGGACTTTTTCCTGAAGCAAGCTCTTCTTTCTCACCAATTTTCTTATCATTTACCTTTCCTGTACCTCTTCATCATCAAATTCTAGAAATCAAAATCTCTTCTGGAATCTGTCATCAGTGACAAAGAATAATTGTAAATCTAGGAACTTCTGTCCACCTGTGGCTCAATCTGAGGCTTCATCTGAACCCATTACGGTTATCTTTAGAATCAAATTCTTCATCCTTACTGTTACCCAACACCTTCCTAAATGTGCTACCCACAGACTCTCAGTAGTTCTTCTGACTGCCTTTGCTCCCAAGTGGATTTTGCCTCTGCTTCATTTTCACTGCAGGACTTAACATCATGGGTATTGGCATGTTCTCAGAATCCCTATCCACATTTTTTAGATCATTATGAATCAGCATCTTCTGCCCTTCTTTTGCTTTCTGGCATGCTTTAAGGGAGCCAAACACTTCTGATTGTCTTCAGCCCACTTGTGTTTAGCATTCACAGCTAATAGATCACTACCAGAAAGTGTGAGATCAATTTTCACACTTTTTGAGTGTCTTCCGTGGACAAGACCATTGGCAGTTTCTCAAGAGATGTGAGGCTCTTGAATCAGACTTCTCTTTCTCTGAAGTTTCTCCTATCTTTGTGACGCTATAGAAACTGCCTTTGTTTAAGCCAGTCTTGTGAGTATTTGCATTGTGACTTCAGGATTTCTTACATTTTAGTGGCAACAGATTAGAAATAGGCTTTTTACTTTTCTACTCTGAACTGATAGGGAAAATCACCTCGTTACTGTGTCTTTCAGAAGTGGACTGACTTTCTTGAAGCTGAATGTGGTTTGGACAGTTACATTCTTTCCATGATGGCATGGAGTCAGCTTCTTTGATGAGGATTAGCATATAAAGCCAGGTTTTCCATGAAAATGCTACTAGAATCTTCACATTTCAAGGAATTCTGATCTTTATTAAAATTATTATAGGCAGCACTCTCAAAGATTTTTTTTCACTTATTCCTTTCCAGAGAAACATTTTACTTCCTGAAAAGCCTGGAAATTCAGCTTTAAATTGTTTTGTTTGTTTCTGTTTACCAATGGTATTCTCCTTCTAAAAGAGAAGCCCACATCTCCCCAAAATGAAGTATGTGATTTTGAATACACCATTATGTAGAGGTTATGGGAAGACTTGAGGCTCCTAGAAATTCTGTCATACCTGCTACAGCTCGTGGTCTCTAGTATAATTTTGTTTTGTTTTGTTTTGTTTGGAACTTCCAGATCACTGCTGTGTCAAGTGAGCTAAAATGAGAACCACATGAAGATAAGATAGATTTTTATCATGCTGCTACACTTTTTCAGATTTTATGCCTTCCCTGATGCTGGAATCAGAAATTTACAACTAATCAGCTTTATTCCACGACTGAGGGATAAAGGTATGGCTTTTTTAACTCTAATACAGTGATCAGAAAATTCATCAAAAGCAAGGGAAAGCCTGTCTTAATTTTTGATAGTTTTCTTGTACATAGATTTTTGCATTTGTGAAAATTCTTTACTATTTTGATCTTACAATTTGCTTTACAATGATTTTATCTGTATCTCTTGAATTTACTCACAATCATTTCTCTTAGTACTATGATCACTAGCATGGCAAGAGATTTTTTTATAACTAAACCTGTTAAAGAATAAGTTTTATAACAACTAATTTGAGACCACCCCTTTCAACTTCAAAGAGATCACTTTCAGATTCTATAATCCAGGACACCTTCATTCTTTGTAAGTTTTCCTCTTTTGCAATCATTACTTAATTCATCTTGAGAATCAATATCATCACAGTACATGTGGTTATTTCTTGGCAGTTTCTAATCCAGAAATCAGGAAAAGCACACTTTTTAAGTTTCTGAGTATAAGAACTAGGCATAGGGGGTAATTTAGAAGGATAATGAAATAATGAGGTGTTTCTTGTACAGTTTGATGATATGTTAAGTGCAGACTCCTTAATACCTTGGACTCGGTCAGAAACCCAGCAGAATCCTCATTCTTCTGAACATTTATTCAAGGGAGGGTCATGAAATTCGGAAAACTCTTATTCTTTCTTACTTATAAGGTCATTTGCTTATGCCAATTCTTAAGCAAGACCGGTTATAGAAATGATATTTGCATACTTCTCTTCCCATCTTCTTGAGGTTGTGGCAGTATTCTGATAGATATATTTATGGTATCTGCATCTATGTTGCTTTTTAAGGAGAAGAACAAAAAAACTCTTCCAAATTTACAACCCAACCCTTGTGTCCTGGTATTTTTGTCTCTAGCAGGCACAGATTTCATATAAAAATCAACTTCTTTATCTTTTCCAACAAGTTGATGTTGCCTCTTACTGGCTTTTTTTCCCCATTGCTTTTACTTCTTCTCTTTTTTGTAATAATCTGTGCAAAAAAATTCTTTGCTCACCAAATTTTTAGGGTTCCACATTTTCTTGTTGTTTTATTTAAAAATAGACATGTATTTATTTCAAATCTCCTGTCCTCTGACATTGACATGTGCTAAGACTGTCAGTGAGTTTCCAATGTCATTTTTCTGAGAAGTTATCCCATCAGAAATATCTCCAAATCTGCTGAACTGATTATATAACTCTGTCATGGAAATGGCCTTGCCAATGCCACTCCCAAAACGATGCTTTATTTTTTTTTATTGGCATTCATAAAGACTACGAATAAACTCAGTGTATTCTAATGAAAAACAGTAATTTTGCATTGTTATGGTTTATATCTAGATGTCCCCCTAAAGTTTTATTAGGATATGATACTTATCAGTGGATTAGACCACTGATGAATTTTTAGCTAAATGCAATTTGGAAGGTGATGCCTGGCTGAAGGAGCTGGGTCACTCAGGGAATGGCCTGGAAGGATATATCTCGCTCACTCCTCCCTTGACCCCTCTCTCTGCTTCCTTTCTGCCATGCCATGAACTGTTTCTCCTCTGCCATGCCCCTGTGCTATGCTGCTCTACCTTGGAAACAGTGGACTAAGTTCTGAAACCTCGACAAGCTGTAAATCACAATGACCTTCCCTCCTTATAATTGTGGGTATCAGGTATTGTGTCTCAGTGATTATAAAATAATTAAAGATACATGTCAACTCCTAGAGCTAGTTCCACACACCATAATTTCTCCGGTCACTAAATTTTAAAGTAAGAAATTCATATTTAGTACCTTATATTCAGTAAACATCTCCTTTCGGGTTTTCTCGCTGACAAATACCTTATAATCTTTTAATGTGTAATAATGAAGAATCCCATGAGATTAGCCAGTGTTCAAGATTTTCCAAATACAGATACACACATTTAAATTCACATGCTAGTCTCATATTAGATCACTTTAATTTAAATTGATCTGGTAAATATTAAATTAATTTAAACATATGGAAATTTCTCCATCAACAAATTCTGCACACTGATCACCAAAATGTTTAGAATCATAAATTCAAAGGTTAGATAGACATTAAGGTTCCCTAAGGTAACAAGCATTATTTTATTAAATGTCCATGAAAAGAAGTTGGCATACATTTATTTTGTAAAACTATTGCATAGTTTTATTGATGAACACCTATAGATACTGCTTCTGAAATACAGTGTAAGCCCCGGGATCTAGGGGCAGAATTTATGACAATTACTTATATTAGTTTTCTATTAATATATAAAATATGATCACAAATTTAGTAGCTTGAATGAACAAATATTTATGATCTGACAGTTTATGTGGGTCCTAAGTCAAGTGCTCTCTGGGTTTTCTGCTTAAGATCTAGCCAGGTTAAAACAAAGGTACTAGCCAAGGCTGCACTTTCATTTGAGACTCACATCTCTTTTCAGAGCTGATCTAGCTTATCCCAGGATTCAATTCCGTATGGTTGGAGAATAGAGGTGTCATTCTTTTGCAGGCTGACAATCTCTCTCAGCTTCTAGAGACCAACCTTAGGTCTTTCCATAAAGCCCTTTCACACCAAGATAGCTTACTGCTTCAAAACCAACAGATTAATACACTCAAGTCTATCAAGCTAGAAACTCATATGTCATAACATAATTAGAGTTTACATTCTAGAGGGAGGACTGCACAGGATACACACACACACACACACACACACACACACAACAAGTGAGAGGAATGCTTGAGATCATATTAGAACGCTGCTTATCACTATAGCCTAAAGTTACCTATTTTATCTTTTAAAGTAGCCTTGCTCTTCAAAATACTGCTTGTGGATAAACACTGTGGATGGGCTGAGGTTTCTATGGTGCAGAAACAATTTAGCTCTATTTAGAGGAAATCTGCCCATTTTTCCAGAGAATTTTTCCCCCCTCTAAAAAAGTACTGCTATTTAATTTGTCTCCTAACAATGGCAGGAATTTCTTTTTTTACAGAAACAATCTGTGAAATGTCATTTAGGATTACTTTAAACTACCAAAATGAAGCTATTTCAATGATGATTTAGAGTCCTAGAACATAAATTTTAAGTCAATGGATTGTGTAGAATTTGTTATATTTTTCTGGCTACCTTCCAAATACTAGGATTCAAGGAGTCTTTTAGATGAAAATATGCTACCAAATTTTTTGTTTGTTTTTCTGATTTCAGAATTGCAAAATATTTTAGGTGAAGAAGATCCTATTAATTCTTCATATATTTTCTGATCTTAAATATATTCAGCCAAAAAAATTAAGAATGGAACTTTACAACCTTAAATAATATGAAAACCTGTCCAAATCAATTTCTGTATGTATCTTTTATAGACTTCTTTTATTCCAAACATATACTCTGATGTCTGAAACACATAGATATAGTATTTAGAGAATTATGTTCGGATTGGAGAAAAATTAATGCTAACCCACCAAGACACAATGAACCATGACAAAATAATCTCTTCTTTTTTTATTAAACTAGGTGGCTTCTTTCCATAGGAATAAAATCATTAACAAAAGGGATTTGAGTACTTTTTGAAATATATAATATATTGTAAAATATATTATTAGTTCAGAATTTATTTTGTATTTTGTGAAGTAGAGAAATATGATTTATGTCATCTATTATGGATAAAAGAACTTTCACCCTATTCCTGGGAGGAAAGCAAACAGTCATTGTTATGAAGTTAAAATAATACAAAGCAGCATAGAACAGGTCTTATGTGTGAGATATTTGGTAAGTTGAATCAGAATCAGAATTTCTTTTTCTTTACTTAGGTATGTAACCATGTAAAATATTTTCATTTAAGAAGACTGATATATATGTTAATACTGGAGACTTGGATACAATCTAGTGTGGGTAGAATAGAAATGAAATGGGAGAGGAAAACTTGGACATCAATAGATTTGTGATTCATTTGGCAGGTAGAGAGCAAACAAAGTAAGTAGGGCCATAAAATAGATTATTTAATTTAATTACAAGTGTTTCTCTGCATTACAGTATCAAGACCATACACTTACACATCTCTAAATAAAGGCTTAATTCTTTATTCCTAAATTAGAAATTAAGGATATATTTAATTCTGAATTTATAAATGAGGAAGTTCATTCTATAACTTGAGTGCTTCCTAGATCAGATGGATTCACATACTATTGCACTGTTATTCTTCTTTGCCTCCCTTGCCACAAATTTCAATAGGATTCATGTCTTTATAAGAAGAGTCACCAGAATGGATGTTCACAAAGAAAATACTACATGAGGACACAACAAGAAAATAATTATTTGCAAGTCAAGCAAAGAGGACTGAGGAGAAACAAAACTTGGTGCTCCTCAACTTTTACTATCAGCCATAAGAACTGTGAGAAAATAAATTTATGTTATTTTAGTCATTCAGTTATTTTTTATGACAGCCCAAGTAGTCACATATCTTGTTAAAATTATTTACCTAGTGCATTTAACAAAGCCTTCATTCTTGAAAGGCCTGTGCCATTAGCATCCTTGCTACCATTGAGTTTCATAGTTTTCTATTGACTTTAATGATCACAGAACATGATAGTACTTGGAGACACTTTAAGGAATCTCTTGTATTCCACACATACTTTCTGACCCCATTATATGGTAGCAGCCAAATGTTCCTTTAGTAATAAGGATCCATCACCCCAGCCATTATAGTAACTATACTTTTAATCTGTTCACTCAGAAGAATGAATGTTCAAAGTAACCTATGGCAGTGCTAACTTGTAGTTGAAAGGAATAAGTGCTATGTCCTCTTGTTGATACACTCTTATTTGCAGACCTCTACACAAGAATAGAATGTCATGAGGGTGAGAAGCTAAATATTGCTAGTGGCTCATTTTTGGTAATGATGAGAAATACTACTCCCACATGAATTAAGATTCCTGGACCTGTGAAATCTGGCTATAAAGAAGTAATAGCATATGCTTGATGCATACAAAGAGAATATAAAACCTTTTACAGGACACTTCACTAGTCCTGCAAGGTATTGCTACCTAGGTAGTGCTGTAACTGTGTCTTTGAAAAGCCATTCCTTATTCAGTCAAGCCAGCTATTTTGGAACATAATAAGACATATTAATTTCATGAATTGGGCCCATTGTTACATTTCATTTGCTGACACATTAGCTTCTTTATTGGGAGCAATGCTCTTACAGTGTCAAGAATTAATACATTCTGTAAGTCTGCAAATAGTAGTTTTGGCAGAAGTATTGTTTGAAGAGAAATAAAATCAATATTCAAGGTAAATATCTATACCAACTAGAACAAATCACTGCCCCTTCCATGATGGAAGCAATCCAATAAACTCAGCTTGCTGTGGGGTAGCTGGCTAATCATACCAAGGAACTGCCCCATACTGGGGATTCAATGTTGTCCCTTCTACTGACAGAAAGACACTTAACAGTGGAAAGGTATTTCTTGGTAAATAAAAGTCTACCTTGTTGCAGCTCAGTATAAACTTCATCTCTGCTACCATGAATTATTTTTCATGAGTCCACTGATCATGGAGAGCCTGGCTCAGAAAGGAGAATTACTGGTATCCTCAGAATGTGTCAACTTCTCTACTTAATTATCCAAGTTTCTGATCATTCAGAAACCATTACCCACACTCCACTGATTCATTCTTCTATCTCTAGCCAGCCCTCTTTTCAAGCAAAATGAGTATCAAGATAGCTGCTCAAAATTCTACCAATTCTGAGGATTTCCTTTAACCAGTAACCTCTAGAGATGTCCCATTTCTGCAGCCAAATCCCATTTTCATATGGTTCTTGCATATTATGTCCCCATAAGACCATAGGTATGGGCTGAGAGAGCATAGGTAATGAAGCAGAGTAGGGGCTACAGGCATTTATATCCATTTATATCCTTTTATATAATTTCTTTATGTAGGCTATTTGTGCCTTCAGGGGATAATCAAGCCTAAGTTTATTTATACTACTTTTATTTCATAATGGTATACTGTTGTGTATGCCCAAAACCATGTTTTATGGCTCCTCAGGTCAGACAATTGTTGCTTCAGCAGGGGCACTTCAAGTCACATGATAACTTAGTGGTTAATTCTTAAGCATTTACCCTCTATCACTGTGTGTGTGTGTGTGTGTGTGTGTGTGTGTGTGTGTGTGTCATCTGTCAGTTCATCCATCTTATTGTATTCATTTTCTAGAAAGTTTTGACTCATGCAATCAGGTAAATTCCATATACCTTTATTATGACTTGTCTAACTAGTGGACCCCATTGACTCTTCGGGTGTCCTCAAATTAGTGTCACTTCAGAGTCAATGACTTAGGCTTAATTATCTGCACTGATTGCATTCAGAGATGTCAGTTCCATGGCAACAGATTTATTTTAATTTCTGATCTGAGAAAAGTAGGCGTAGTTATTCAATAATGCTTAGGCTTTCTCCATACATTTGTTTCTCAGTATCATGATAAACATGAGCACTCTGGATGCTCTCAGCTTGGGTGAATAGATATTAACATGATTAGATAGACACTAAGCTTTTAATCTCCCTAAGCCTTTTACTACCTTTATTTATAGTAAACCAAGACAGTTATGGCATGTAGTAGAGACAACTTTTATGGCTATATTTAATTCAGTCAACCAAATAGTTAAAGTACATTCTTACCCATCAAACTGAAACACTGATCCAGAATCTCTAAAAAGTAGATCTATATCAATAAATCTAGTCTTATTCACTTTTATACCTCCCCATCATGAAACCACACCCTTTACATCTATCACCACTTATATCCTCCAGGTTTCTGTCATTATAGATTGGAAATACATGTGGTCCTTTTCGGGCATAACAAACTTGATAACTCATTTTTTGGGGTAGGGGCTGCTAGGATTTGTGTTGTAATTATTTGTGCAAAGAGGTGGCAGTAGGATCAGCAGTGCCTTAAAAGACATCTGCAAGAGATGAGGCTGTAAAACATCCACCAAGTTAAGAAGGGCTAGCCATCTCAGACAGGGGTAGTAGGGACATTTCTACATGCCAAGAAGACTTAGCAGAATTTAAGGCTTTGACTTATCTCTTTTCATTAGGATCCCTCATACATCATCATCCCAATAACTAGTATTTGATTCCTTTCCAATAAATGCCCTCACCTTTTACACCTTGCAGGATTCAACATATGTTATGATTCAACCACTCACAAGAGAAAACTCTAGGTTTTGTTTTCAGATATCTCATCCCTCCAGCAACAAGAAATAAAGATCTGTTTAGGATATAGGGTAAAAATGCTTCTGGGCTATTTATGCAGAGTTTGTGCTAAGAATTTGAAGCCCTGTGCTCTTTCTTTTTCTATCTTTCTCCAGAACATTTCGAAGCAATCAGTCATTTCTATAGTACTTAGTACAACTAAAATGTTCTATACTGTGAAGTCAGGTCACTTAGAACCCTGATTCTTATAATTATTTCATTAAGAATATCCAACTAAGCTAGTAGTGCATGCGTACAATCCCAGCACTCTGAGAGGCCGAGGCAGAATGATCACAAGTTTGAGCACAATCTGAGCAACTTACTGACTTAGTGAGATCTTGTTTTAAAATAAAAAATAAAAAAAGACCTTAGGATATAGCTCAGTGCAAAGAGCCTAAGTTCAATCCTCAATACCAGAAAAAAAAAACAAAACTATTGGTGGTATTTTGTATATTTCTGTTGTTACATTAAGCCATGGACTGCCAGTTGTGTCTTCACTAATGGAAAAGGAGTCACTAGTGTTCTCAATTTTGAGAATCAATTCTTGAAAAATCAAACCAATTCAGAAAATTTACCTTTAAGATCTAGACCACAATTTTGTACCAAAATTGCTTTAGGTTCTACAGTAAAACAGAACTAATAGGATATATATGTGTGTGTGTGTATGTGTGTATGTATATGTGTGTGTATATATATATATATATATATATATATTAGATAAGATAGCTACGCAGATATATATGTGAGATAAAGGTATGCAAAGAGAGTAAAAGGAGATTTAGTTCAAGGAATTTCTTACATCACTATGGGATCTAGCTAGGCAAGTCCAGAACCCATTGGGAATCCCATGAGAAAGTTCAAGCTCAAAATACTCAAGCAGTCCCTGAAGATCCAGGCTTTGGGTAGAATTTAATCCATCTCAGCAAAACATCAGTTCTGTTTTAAGGATTTTCAATTTATGCATCCGGCCCATCGAGATGAATGAGGCCCAGTCTTAGTCAACTGTAAATATTAACCATATCTATGAAATACTCTACCACATCACTTAGATTAGTGTTCAGTTGAATAACTGGCATTATGGTTTAGATTTTAAATGTTCCCCAAAGGCTCATTTACTAAAGGCTTGGTAACCAGCCTGTGGGACTATTGGGAGATGAGAGAATATTTTGGAGGTGGGACCTATCTAGTAGACAGAAATCTGGCCATTGGTGGTGTGCCATGGAAGAGGATGCTGAGATCTCATCCCTTCCTTCTCTATGCTTCTAGACTGTGGGAGATAAGCAGTTTCCTCCATTGTGTGCTCACCACCATGATGCACTGCTTTATCATAGGACTAAAGGTAACAGCAATCATGGGGGTGAAGCCTCTAGAAACATGAGCCAAATAAGTCTTTTCTCCTTATAAATTTATTGTTTCAGGTATTTTGTCCCAGTGGCAGAAAGCTAACATGACTGGAGACCATAATCTAGCTGAGTTGACTCAGAACTGACCATCAGAGTGTCAAATGTATGCTAACTACTATGATATATACAATGAGAATCACTGCAAGAACAGAGCTGTATTCATCAAAAAATGTACTCTCCCAAATGGGGATTTCTATTATGGGCAACATTTCTATTTTAGAAATTGAGTTTATAAAGAAAACCAATTTGACAGAGTGAGGAAAATGTCCTCACATAACTTATGACCTTAAGATCTCTTAAGACTTTCTTCAGGTGACCTTCTCTGATACTTACTTGACTATAGAATTTATATGAGTACTGGTTTTTCTAGTCAATCAAAAGTATTGTTATCACATTTAACTACTCTATGTATATTATATTTTTATTCACTATCCAGTAGCTAAGGTCCTTAAATGGAGAAAATATAAGTGTTTAGGCTCTAACCCCAGGTCCTATCATGGTTGAGAGATAGGATAGGCTGATTGCTATGAAGTAAGAGGCTTGATCTGTACTAATTCAAGACATGTTTTTAACATTTAAAATTACAGGAAACTCATAAGTAGCAGACATGAATTATGTTAGTCTGAAAAGAGGAATTAAAACACACTTCACTCTGTTCCTATCCCGTAACTTCTTTGACCTTTTAGTATAAACCATTTTCTCTGAGAATGGGCTAACATATACCACTGCCTA